CTCTTTATCTATCTCATCGTATCGCCTCATGGCGATGTTTCGCACAATTGCGAGCTATTTCCACATTATTTTTCACCCCCGAGAGTAGGATCATGTCCTACTCTTGACCATGATGTCATTGGCCTATCCCAACACACTTAGGACGAGTGTGCCATGGGGTCGGAACCAGGTATTCCCTGCTGAAGTTTCAATGTAATGAGGACATCTAGTATACTTACATTATGTGAGCGCTAATGCCATGGTGCTCGATATAATTCAATATACTGCGAGAAGATCTTGTTGAGGTAAGATTGTTGCGGAGAGCACCACCAATGAGCGACACCAATGTATCACATTTCCAGTGTCGACATTTGACCATGACCAATCATAGTGTCGACATTTGACTTTCACTTGCATCGAGGCATTGGTCCACTGCCAATCTAACATTGAGCAATCTCTGATCCTAAATCAAAGATTTTCCAATTCACCTACTTCACGAGAAGATGCGTTCGTCTTGGATTCCGTTATCTTTAAGGTATATATGGCACTGTGAGACTTGGCTAGTGCAAAACAACAATTGCTTTCTATGTAATGTAGAGTACCGAACATACATTTTTATCATAAAACAGTAGAAAATATCATAGGCCGAACACCCCATTCTAATCAATCATAGGGGACTCTGGGATCCCTCTTTAAGTAAAGCACTGTAATTCATATAACCTAGCTTTTTATCATAACGAAAATTATAACCTTAATTCTTAACAATAAAAAAAGATAAGTAAATTTAAGTGTAGAGACACATGATATGGCAAGTGTTCGGATTTCACGATTCAACAATATGTGATTGCTTTGAAATATTGACACTTCAACATCTAATTTAGTCTATTAGGTAGGTTTTTCTCCACGTGCTGGAGAAAGTAAGGCAACTTGTTGCTGTTATAAGGACAGCATCATGATGGTTCAGTGACTTTCTATCCCACAACCACAAAACGAAGGTGCACAACTAACCCTTTAGGATGGTGTTTTTTTTTTTTTTTTGAACTTGATCAATGCTTGGCATTTAAGGGATGAGGAGGGAGCTACTCCTAATTCACTTAATAGCTTATTTATAAAATTTTGTGTTTATAATTGGAACTGTTCATATTATTATTATTTTTTTTTGTAAAGATTATCTATATTAAAAATCAATTAAAACAAATGGTGTTTAGTCAATCAATTGTACCAAATATATATACGGTTTTTAATACTTTTACCGAATCTGTACATTTTTTTTAACAGTTCGTTGACTAAATAGTCTCATTTATTTATTTTGCAGAAATGTTATATACAAAATGCTTCATAAATCAGTCACGTAATGAATTGATGGGGATGAACTTTTCTTTTTCACGATTCTACGCTTTCCAAAAAAAAAAAAATCTAAAATCATTAAGGAGAAAAATATGCCTCTGCACAAATGAACAAAAAGTGGAGGATGTGAGTCATTTCTTTTTTAGATCTTTGAATGAGGCGATCAAGAAGTCCCCCCTTTGGACTGGATAAAATGTCCTTTTAATTTGTTCACATGACTACACGATTAGCTTGAAATAATGCAACTTTAGAATCTCGTCCCAGACCCACAAAATGAAACTGCCTAGTATGTCCCTTTCAAGATAGTTTGATGGCACAATGCTCTCCTTTCGTACTATCATGTTTTAACTCTTCTCAACAACCTCAAAAAAAACTTGCCCAGCTGACCCTTGTAAAGTTTTTAAGATAGTTAGATGCTCTCCCTTTGGAGGTGTATAGCTAGAGGGGATAACTATTGAAAGTAGGTTTAACATTGCTAATCATTGAGGGGCCTAATGAGGAGAGATAGGACAGTTGGAAAGGAGGGGAGGACACCAGAGTACAAGGGGGCATGTGAACTCTTTGGGGTCCCTATCCTAGCCAGATTATAATTTCCAGGATTTAATGAATTTATACGATGAATCACGCATGCAGATGCCAATATATTTCTTCCAGATATTCGACAAGTTACTAAGACCATCTTCAATCCTTGATCTAAAACTTAAAATTTTTAGCTCAGAAAATTTATATTTTAATCCAGAAACGGCTTTTTTACTTCAACATTTCTGGTCTAAAATTTTAATTTCAGATTATTAAAGAATGAATTTTAGCTAATTTTTTTTAAATTAACTTTTTAAAAAAAAATTATGTAGAATATTCTAAATTAATTTTATGAACATTTTAACCTAAAAATATTCAAATTCCGATAAATATTTAAATAATTTTTTTTAATTATTTTAGCCTTTGGATTTAAATTTGGCCCGTTAGATCTACTTTTTACAGTTAGATTTGATATATTTGATCTCAGCCGTTAGATTCAATAAATATAAAAAAAAATTTGAATGTAGGCCGTTGGTTGATCCAACGGCCTATTTATCTCAACCGTTGGATTAAAAAGAGCCGTTGGCTCATTGGCACAAGTGGCCAACATGCCCACGTGGGTGGGGCCATGCCGGTCTCAGCTTTGGCACGTCACTCGCATGCGCGCGTCTCCTGGGGCATTTGGCGCTCAAGTGTCGAATTTCACTTGCGCTGGTGGGGCCCACATCATTTTCTAGGCTAAATCTAGGCCGATTTCTAGCTTTTTTTTAGGTTTTGAGTTTTAGATCCAAATTAAAACTTGAATGGATTAGAGGAGAATAAAAAGGAAATTATAGGTTTTAGTTCATATATTGGAGTTGGCCTAACTGAGATATGAGATAAAAGCAAATAAATATCTTCCTTTGAGGTATTCAAGTTACTGGTCCAGTAGTTCAGCAAATATCTACACTTCAATTATTGTGGATTTAATGGTAGTGCTGTGAGGTCAGCTAGCTGTGACATTTTGCAGTAAATTTTCTTACCTAACTAAATGGAAATGATTAAAACACTTGCACAAATTCCATGGTCAGTCAATGCAGTAACTTTGTTTTCACGGGTAAACCTATTCTATGATACAAATGTCTATGTCGGACTTGGCTGTTGAAAAATCAATGGCTCCTAAAAATCAGCAGCAAAGTTCTTTCCGTCTATGTCTATGTTCGTTTGTGAAGTTTTTTTAAATTATTGTATTTTTTTGCACGAAACATCTCAAATGTTTTTGGAATCTAAAAACTTTTTCAGTTATTCAAAAACACTTTCCAGACAAGCCGAATATAAGTTATAATAACATGAGAGTTGAACACAAAATTATATACATAAAGAAAGATATGAAGACCGAGATATATCACTGGTTACATGATAGAATATCTTCTTAGGGTGTGTGGATCATTTTACTTTTTACACATCCTTGTTAATTTCTATCTCTTGTTACTTCTTGGATTCGAGCTGTGATTCCAAATAACTCAACAGACATTGTTGTGACCTGTCACCTATTGAAAATCCTATTAACATATCTTCATGTTTGATCCTTTTTGTCTTTTATAGTAGGTCACGTTACCCTAGTTACTTTGTAACGAGCATGTTGTTGTGACGATAGCGTAAGTTAATTACATGTTAAATGTGAAAGTACAATCAAGCTGGAATGGAGATATAACTAAGACGTTATAACCAGGGCCGACCTTGAATATTGAGGGGCCCTGTGCAAAACTTAGATGGAGGCCCTTCATTTTTTTTAATGTTATATTTCATTATTATTTTTTTTTCAATTTTTTCATCTATAAAACTAAAATATTATAAGTTACTGCAACAAAAATACGTTGTTTGATCAGCCATGTGTTTTTCCTTACCTTCAAAGGTTCTGAGTTTGATAAACGTTGGATGCCTTTTTGTTATCTCCTGTTTACAAATTTGCAAAAACTTAAAATATAACAAAACAATTCATTATTATTTTTTTTTCAATTTTTTCATCTATAAAACTAAAATATTGGATGCCTTTTTGTTATCTCTTGTTTACAAATTTGCAAAAACTTAAAATATAACAAAACAATTCATTATTATTATTTTTTCAATTTTTTCATCTATAAAACTAAAATATTATAAGTTACTGCAACAAAAATACGTTGTTTGATCAGCCATGTGTTTTTCCTTACCTTCAAAGGTTCTGAGTTTGATAAACGTTGGATGCCTTTTTGTTATCTCCTGTTTACAAATTTGCAAAAACTTAAAATATAACAAAACAATATCATTGGGATTCGAACCCAGCACATGGGCTATAAGAAAGAAGAGCTAAACCGCTTGTGCTAGAACCACAGGTAATATTATCTTTTGCATTTAATCTATTTTATATGCATTTGTATACATGTAATCAAAATTTAGGGACCCTTCCGAATCGGGGGCCCTGTGCAGTGGCACCTGTTGCACACCCTCAGGGCCGGCTCTGGTTATAATTGGTGATATGTAAATGTGATGATAGTATCAAAATTTTTTCAGAAGGCTAACTTATTCAAATTAGATATTATTGTGACGATATTTTAAATCGATATACATGGGCAAATTCATATAGAGACTCGGGTGGCCCCAGGACCCTTCAGAGGTTAGAGAAATAGTTGCAGTAGGTCCTTCAAGGACCCTTCGAATGCCTGGTACGAGACCCTTTTGTGCTCACCTAATATCAATGAAATGTTGTTCACATCTAATAGCACTTGGCATGAGGTCTTGAGAGGACTCAATTGGGTCGATCAATAGAGGACAAAATACACACCACGTGCTTGACAAAATGTCCAACTGAAAAGAATTTGTGCGTTGCAATCATACGTATTTGTGATAATTTTCTAAGTCAATCACACAAAATTAAATTTAACTTGCATACTTCTAACGAGTTGCCATTGTAGTCATTTTTAAATTCAATCATGCATGGTTAAGTTCAGCTTACCTACACTGAGCATGTTACTAAAACAGTTAATCCAGCCAGTAACATGTGAAAAAATTAAAACACTGTAAACTAATGGACTTGAGCCATATGCTTAGCGGTGGTTGTAAATCTCTCCTCGACATGTACAAGAGAGAGAGGAGAGAGAGAGGAGAGAGAGAAAGAAACTGACCCAGAGAACCAAAACCAAGCAAAACCCCAAAAGGGCACGCTTTTCCATCTTATATAATCCACTAGCTCTCTCCCACTGTGCCCATTTCTATGTGCGGTGGTGGTGTCATTGTATGTAAGGGGAGAGAGAGTGAATGAACAGAGAGAAAAATTAAAAATAGAAGAAAAGAAACGGCAAAGGCATCCCTCTATCAAAACTCCGTCTCTATTTGCTTGCACCCTTCGCAGTGAGTGTGGCCTCTCAACTCTGTAAAAAAAAGCCCTGTTCATACTTTAGGAGTGAGAAAGTTAAAGAGAGAGAGAGAGAGAGAGAGAGAAGTGTCTTTCTGTTTGTGGTAGAGGAGCAGAGCAGAGAGGTAATAGACATATATAAGAGAGATGCAGCCCATGATGGCAGCCTATTATCCTAACAACGTCACTTCTGATCACATTCAGCAGGTCCTCCTCCTTCTTCTCCTTCTTCTTTTTCTTCTTCCTCTCCTCTGCTTTTTGCTGGGTTCTTTTTTTCTTCAGCTGCTTTGCTTCTGCATTTCCATTTGGTTTTTGGTTTCTCCTGCCACTTTCTGTATCCACTTCTATTTATTTTACAAGAATTAAACTTACCCTTTTCCTCTGAGCTCTAATGGATTTTTGATAGGCTAAAATTTTCATGTTTTTTTTATTTGTTTTTTGGTTTGTATATACTTGTATGAATGCTTGTTTCTTCTGCTTTTTATATGTTTATCGAAGCACTTTCTTTTATCCCCGTTTTTTCATGAAGATTAATATTTGCTTCAGAACGTTCATGGGCTTTTGTTGTTTGATTTTCCTACACATTACAATTCATAATCTCCTCAAGCTAGTTTTCTGTTACCATATTTCTGTTCTGTTACGTTTGTGATGTTTAAATGGGTGTTGAGAATAAAAGGTGCTTGCAGCTTAGTTGGTTAAGAGCATTCCCGAGGTCCCGGGTTCGACTTCCCCTCCCATTCTTGCTTCTTTTATGTTGGTTATCTTGTTTTGCTCTTATGTTATTTAAATTGGACCGGATCTCTTTCACCAAAGTCACTGGATCAAGTGATCTGGGCCTTTCAAATTTCATCTAACGGCCAAAAATTATGTTGGAAGAGAATCGTATATTGTTTCTTCCATGTTCTATCTGGTGGAAATAGTCTTTTATGTTGGTTATCTTGTTTTGCTCTTATGTTATTTAAATTGGACCGGATCTCTTTCACCAAAGTCACTGGATCAAGTGATCTGGGCCTTTCAAATTTCATCTAACGGCCAAAAATTATGTTGGAAGAGAATCGTATATTGTTTCTTCCATGTTCTATCTGGTGGAAATAGTAATAGCTCACATCATCGAGCATTTTTGTATGCTTAATCGATATCATGAGTTTATTTAGGGGCCTTCTGGCTGCAATCTGAGTGAAAGAATGGTGATTTGGTTCTATTTTGATTAGTTGTGACTAGTGAACGAATATTTTGTTCTTTCATTTGCGAGTCGGTATCTCGAAAAATCTATGATAGCATCCCCAGTAGTATGAACCTTATAGCTTTATTCTTACTGATTGCATTTATATTATGTGAATCTGTTTTGGCAGAAATTCCACGGTGCTCCGAATTATAGGATACTTTGAACTTTTTAACCATTAGATCTCGGTTTTTGTTTTATTTTTAAACAAAAATCTAATTACTGAGCCACCAACTTTGTAGGGCATAAGTTGAAGATTTTGATAATTCCTTTACATCGTTCTCCTTTTGATGGTTTCTTGCTGCCATTGTGGAATTGGTTGGTTTCCGGTAGTTTTTCTGTTTCAAAAATTTTAATTGCACATTTTCTTCCTTGCCATGCATACTCACTCAGTAGTTTTGAATAACAACCTAGATGCTCGCTCACCACACTCAAAGAAAGGATTTTGTGAGTTGCAAGGGATGAGATAACGGGAACTTTTATAGCTGAGATGTTCATCAGCCTTATTTGCCAAATGTGGTAGTGGATGATGCCATCACTTTATGACAAGGGCTTTTTAACTAAAAAAATTGAGTCTTGTGAGCTTTAACTCCATGTTGGTGTTGCATAGGATTATTGACAAAGCTAGAAAGTCGACCTGCACCATGATTAGAAGCGGGTTTTGTTAACAAATTGTATTTATTTTTCTCATGTCTCATAATCGAGTTCTCTTTGCTATTTTTGGTATTCCTGAGTGCCACATACATTTGTTAATTCTTTTAAGCGATATGGCTATTGCTTAGTGGCTGATTGATTTGGCTTTTGCCAAAATTTCTTTTATGGGAAATTGAGAGGCAACTAGAGTTTTTGGGGTATTAAATTTGAGAGAAATGGGTATGGGAAGATTGAGAGTGCTTGTATGTCTCTGAATTCATACATGTTTTGTTTCTGATCATGCTTTTTTGTTGTTGCTGCCATTGTGGATTGGTTGGTTTCCGTAAGTTTTTCGGTTTCAAAATTTTTAGTTGCTTTGCACAAGTTGGACCGAATGATGAGTACATACCATTATTATTTATTAGTGCTAGGAGGAGGGATTGTTGTGTTAGGTTAGTACATGAATTGGTGTAGGGTTGATTATGGGCCTGCGGGATTGTTGCTTGTACTTATAATTGTTTTCGGTTGCATTGTTCAGTGTCCTCGCGCTAACCTTTTGGAAGTGTTGAGTTCAATTATTTCCAAGTGGTGGTCATATTTGGCATTATTGTTTTGGAAATGGTAGTGGAATAACTTTCACGTGTTTGAACGATAAGCTTTTAGGGAAATAAACAGATTATAATTTGGTAACTTCTTTTACTTGAATTAAAACTTGGCCTGAGTTGTTAAGTTTCTCCCTGTAGATACATGGATTTTGTGGTTTTCCAAGCTCTTTTTGTTTTGTTCATAATAGTTCTACAACTTATCACTCCTACTGTTTCATGTCTTGCTGAGGAGGGAGATGATAACTATACCCTTTTTCACGGTGGTTTAGGAATATAGTCTATTACTTGAAAAATATGAATGTTTCTTCTCTTTTAAACGTACTTGTTAATGTAGGATGCAAGCAAGGTTTTACACCAAAATTTTAAACAGTAGTTACAAGGGTAAACTTCCAGTGGGTAAATTTTAAGGGGGTAAATTTAGTGTGCATAGTGGAAATAATCGTGGGGCAACTGGTATAGTTGATGGGCTTTGCTTGACACACTATATGTACACAACTCGCATTCCACATGTCACTAGTGGAATGTTAGACGGTCACCTCGTTTCCTTGCATAAAGTTGATGAGATCAAGTAGATGGAATGGTATGCATAGACATGCGAACTCAGAAATTATCATATTTTAAGTGCTGATGTCAAAGTAAATGACGAAAAGGGTTGTTTGTTTCTTGTTGACAACCCAACTAGACGGTTGGTTAAAATCATGGGTTAAGTGTAACCCATGTTTTAATGCAAGATACCCCATCTTCCATTTCCGAACTTGTTACTGTTAGTGAGGTAAATTTCAAGACTTAACATACTTAGGATAAGGCTTTATTTGTTGGTGTTGTATGATGTTCTGTTGTTGTTGTATTTTATGTTGTTTTTGTATCATGTTGGGGATATCTTGTGCGGTATGAGGGATGTACAGCTGCAGACAAAGAGGGATCATTTAAATATTAATCTTGACACGATTTTTTTAGTGTCTTTTGGCGGGCGATATAGAGCTATGCTCTCGCATATGCTAGAAGCTACAAGTCAGGAGTCTAAATTGGATTCCCAAGCATTTGCTGTATATCGCCCGCCAAAAGACATTAAAAAAATCGGGTCAAGATTGATATTTAAATGATTTCCTTTTGGTCTACAGCTGGACATCCCTCATACCACACAAGATATCCCTAACATGAAACAACAACATAAGATACAACAACAACATAACATTATACAACAACAAAAAAGAAAGCCTTATCCTAAGTATGTTAAGTATAGTAGCAAGTTCAGAAATGGAAGATGGGGATATTTTGCATTAAAACATGGGTTACACTTAACCCATGATTTTAACCAACCATCTACTTAGGTTGTCAACACGCGACCCTTTTCGTCCTTTACTTTGACATCAGCACTTAAAATATGATGACTTCTAAGTTCGCATAACTGTGTATACCATTCTATCGACTTGATCTCATCAACTTCATGCAAGGAAACGGGGTCACCGTTTAACATTCCACTAGTGACATGTGGAATGCGAGGTGTGTACATATAGTGTGTCAAGCTAAGCCCATCAACTGTACCAATTGCCTCACGATTATTTCCACTATACATACTAAGTTTACCCCTGCAGTTACTGTTTAAAAAATTGGTGTAAAAACTTGCTTGGATCATGCATTAATAAGGACTTTCACAAGAGAAGAAACATTAATATTTTTCAAGTAATAGACTACATTCCTAAACCACCGTGAAAAAAGTGTACAATTATCATCTCCCTCCTCAACAAGAAATGAAACAATAGGAGTGATAAGTTCTAGAACTATTAACAAAAAGAGCTTGGAAAACCAAAAAATCCATGTATCTACAGGGAGAAATTTAACAACCTAGGCTAAGTTTTAATTAAAGTAAAAGAAGTTACCAAATATATTAGGTTTATTTCCCAAAAGCTTATCGTTCAAACATGTGAAAGTAGGGAGATGGCGAGGAAGAATTGTGGGGTTTTGATACGAGAGACGATGATTGGCAATCACTATAATCCCAGGTCGTCTTCATCATCATCACCGTATGGTCCAAACCCTAGCCCCCCAAATTCAATGCCAACAAGCATCTGCCATTCCTTCCTCCAACGCATCCGCCTCCTCCTTGGCCTCACTCCCAGCCAGGGTCTCCGCCTCCGGTGCACTCTCGGCCCCCAGGCTCAAGTAAGTACCCCCTCCCACTCGCTCTCTCTCTCTTCCTGTTTTTTATCATCTATCTACCATTGACTGCCCTACCGGCTGTTTTTACAGAACTTCTGTTTCCGAGTCCCCAAGACATGATCATGTAGAAGGAATATAAGAGAGCAATTAAACAGTTAAAGGTAAACAACTGCAGATTACTACCTAATATTGCATTGGATTGAACACAACATGTATGATTTGGACTAGTTAGTTAATTACATTAAAATGAGAAAAACAATCATGAAAAAATGATCCATAATCTGATCAGAATTGCTTCCTAATTCCCACCTGCAAGTGCATATTCAGTTCAGTTGGAACTCGGATATTCCTCCCTTGTTGGCTGGCTTTCCAAAAGGACCACCTTTGCATTTAACATGGACAAATAACTTTCAAAACCTTGCTTGTTATTCTATGCAGCTTCTTATTTATTTTGTAGGTGGACGTTTGCCAGCAGTTTTCTACTTTACTACAGCCGCTTGCCCAAACAATAAGTTGTGATGCAATACAATTTTATCAGTCAAGTTATTTCTTGTAAACTGCTCCTCTGCAACTTGTATTTGGTGTACTATTCTTTTGCAGCCGTCACGTACTCAATTTCAATCGTTCGAAAGATCAGGGAGCATTTCCCACATGTAAAACCATATAAGGTTCTGCTTGCTGTTGAGGTATGGCATCCTAATCATGTCTTCTGCTAACTTGATCGGAACATTTGGGAACTATATTTTCATATTGTAAACTGTTTGTAACCCATCTTAAGATTAAGGTGAAAACAACGTGTGGGTTCTAGTTTTTTGAATCTTAATAAATTACTAGACAAGTATTTAACTTTGTTTTTCACTACCTGGCTATCTGGCAGTTACTATATTGTTTGAAAGTAAAGTTTTTTACTTTTGTTTTTTTTATAATCACTTCTTTATGAAAGCAACATTTTTTTTTTCAACAGGATCGTATTATAATGTGAAGCTAGGAATTAGAAATCATGTTAAGAATATTTAAATTCATTTCACAAATTCTTAATGTTAAGAATATTTAAATTCATTTCACATATTCTATGTAAAATGATAAGAATATTTAATGTTAAGAATATTCAAATTTCTTTTGGGTTCATGGATAAGTTGGCGAACAAAGGGAACTTCATTTTGGATTACATGATAACATCAGTAGTGCATTAGTTCAAAAACAAAACAGAAAAAGAAAAAGAAAATGTTTGAAAAGAAAATGTACATCAAATTAGTCAATAAAAAAACAACCCACAAAAATAAAGGAGTAAAAGTCTCAAACTTTAACAAACCTTTGGTGAGGGCATCAAGAACTCCACTGGATTCTAAGTACTTCCTGAATGCTGAGGTGGGATGGGGGGTATTTTTCTGGGGTTGTTTCTTTCGATTTGGTCTAGCTGGTAAGTGGAAGCTCTAGTGGTTAGAAATGGACCTACCTTGTTGCTGCTGCTAACGGTCCAAAGAGGATCAGTGGGTAAAAACCACAGTTTTCGTCATATTAATTGATTGAAAAGATAATTGATTGAATTTCTTCTTATTTTCGGGAAGTGTTTTTCGCACTTTATTTTCTGTAGTACATTTTTTGGTTTTTTTATTTTTATTTTATTTTTATCAAATGATAGATTTTAGATTAATCACCAATAGGGTATGAACTCACGCCGTCATGCAATAGCTCAAATCCTTTCCATCACTATGATAAGTGGCCATTTACACATTTTTTTGGTATTTAGTTGTGTACAAATGTTATACTTTGAAATGTTGATTTTCTTTATCATAATAATTTGCCTTTTTATTTTTCCCACCTTCCCGCTTATCTCATCACAAGTGGATTCCATTTACTCATCTAACTTCAAATTTTTGGAAACTCTTATTATATCTTTCCAGAGTAATGAGCTTAAGAATTCTGAAAAGAAAAGAAAACACCTAGCGATTGAACGTTATGAGTCGCATGGAGGAAAACTCAAACCGATTTAAAAAGGTAATGAAAACCTGCAAATGCATTTGTGTATTGTGTTTCATTTATTATTAAAAGCCATTACTAAAAGACAGGACTTGACACACTTCATCTTAATCGTTCAATATATCTTCTTCAGCAGATTCGGCTTAGAGGATGAGATGAATAGAGGTTTATATGGTTTGTCCTTGGGACGTTCCGGGCACTTTTCCGACCAGTGGAGGCCTTTATCCCTACAATGGTTACAATATGCGACAATAAGACGTCCTTTGGAGGAACCACCAGGATGGGCACAACAGTTGGGGTTTTTGTAAAAAAGACCACAAAACTACACCATAACCATCGCCAACAATAGCGCCCGGTGGGACACCATTCCAGTATGGGCAGGCAGAACTGAAGTGCACATTTTCCTTACGGCAAACTCTACAGTGCCCGAAATTATGCTTTTCTTGTTCTGTTTTTTCCTCGAGCTGGAGTTGAGCCTTTGAGTCTCCAACCTCCTTTGAGCCTTTTTTGTCCAGTGGGGCCCACAAGCCCTTTGACTTGGCCTTCGATTGGAGATGGTTTTCGAGCTATTTTCAGCCTTCTGGCCCTTTAAACCCTTTGGTTGAAGATGACCTAATGACCTCATGATATAGAAACAGTAGGATTTAGTTGCGGGGAAAGGAGGCATATAATGCGTATGCTCTTGGGATAAGAATGTGACGTGGTACTAATTAAACATTTTGTTCTCACAAAAGATTATTAATTAGATTTATGTAAATAAGAGAAGAATTCCCTCTCTTCTCATTTCTATACAATTCATTTTGTTTGTGCCATGAATAAAATAAAGCTTGTTACGGGGTTTATTCATTTTTATTTACACAAGTTGCACAATGTCGGTCCAAAACTTCAAAGCCCAAACCAAAATTTGGACGACCATCTCACTTAGCTTCAATTTGTCCGAGGCTTGAGACAAAAATCCCTCTGAAGTGTGTTTGCCACGTAGACGATTAGAGATCGGGAATATCTCGTCCTTTTAAATACATATGTATGCATCATCCAACACGATGAAGTCACTACTAACAATTGTGCTAACCGCCTCAAGACACAGCTAAAGGTCACCTACCATGAATTACAGTTACTGTCAGGGCCAAATGACCGCTCTACTTATGTTCCAACTCAACGATATGATCGAGGTTGCTCATTCTCCACTGCCTATATAATAGAACCATAGACCTTCAAACTCATGACCTTTATCAAGCTGATAGGCCGATCTATATAACTTGAAAAGAAAATTGACTGGAAATGTAAAGAAAGTAGTAAAACTCTAGCAAGATTCAGCCCATGAACGGCAACATAATGTTAGAAAAGTCCATCCAAGATTACTAGTGTCATATTGGATTTAGTACAAAACATGCAACTTGGAGAGGAAATCATGGTGGTTGGAAATGGACATCAACGGAATCATACCAACGGGTAGATAAGTTGTAAAAAGTTTAGTATCTCAGGGATTGTAAGCAGTGTTTACTTCGAATGAAGGCTTTGAGATTGTAGTTGAAAAGCTAACAAGAGAGTTTTGTTGAAGAGCAACTGGGTTTGTGCTAAAAAGCAGTTGGGTTGATTGAAGAGTTAGTCGAGGTTTTTTTAATTGTAGAGAGGGCTCGGCGCACGGAAAATGAGGCACGTAAAACGAGGCATAATTCCCAAGGGAACTGAGGAGGCTCGACGTACATAAAATACGACACGCAAAACGAGGCGAGCTTGGCACAAAGGTCAACCATTGTTGCCCGCACAAAGCATTGGTGCCGAGGGTGGAGCATATATAAGCCGCTAACAATATGGGGTAGGGTTTAGTTTTAATTGCACAAATCAACCATTGTTGCTCATACAAACCATTGGTACCGAGAGAAGGGCATTGTAGGGGGTATGGGTTAGTTTTAATCACACGGATGGACCATTGTTGCCCCCACAAAGCATTCGTGCCATGGGTGGACATTATAGACCGCTATCAATAGGGGGTACAGTTTAGTTTTAATTTCAGAGGTCAACCATGGTTGGTTGGACAAAAAATTGTTGCCGAAGGTAGGACATTTATAAACCACTATTGTATGTTTTTTTTTTTTGTCAAAATTTTACTTTTTTTCCATTACCATAACACCAAACTATCATCTTCATGTTCTACACAATGTATTTTCTTATAATCCATGTCAAAACAATCGAAAACAAGGATATAAATCTAAATCTAAAGGTATTTGAATCTAAATAAAGGAAGGTAGGAAAAAAAATCAATGGAAAAAGAAAAAAAACATAAATAAGTAAAATAGAAAATGATACGATCGGTACTTCAATACGGATTATTCATAAATACTGTCGTTGTCAAGGTAGCAACTAAACCGCAATAAAGTCGCTAGCAAAATGTTGATTCTCCCTTTTCATTTTTTTTTTAATTTTTTAGTTATTTTAAAATTTTTTTTATACTTTTAAAAGTTTTCTTTTATTTCTCTTACCATAACAACAAAATATCATATTCATGTTTTTCAAAATATATTTTTCCATGCAAAATTTATTATAATTCATATTTAAACATTTGCAGTCCACGATTTAAAACCTAATTATAAAGATATTTCCCTTCTTCTTCTGGGTCGCGGGGGGGGGAGGGGGGTGGGGTCTGTACATCATATTCATGTTTTTCAAAATATATTTTTCCGTGCAAAATCTATTATAATTCATATTTAAACATTTGCAATCCACAATTTAAAACCTAATTATAAAGATATTTCCATCTTCTTCTTCTTTTGGGTCGCTTTGCGGCAGGGGGGGGGGACAATTTTTTTATTTTTTTTCCTTCCTTCTTCTGTACACGAAGAAGAAGAAGAAGACTTCCAAATCACATGTATAGAATAAAAACCATAACCTAATTTTTCTTGCAACACAACACGTATGCTATAGAGTTACAAACAACATGTATTGAGCCAATTTCACAATTATTAAGTAGCAATTGAGTTGAATAGAATTGTGAGCTAAGGAGAGTAGATGCATGCATATATATTCATTCGGGAGATATTGATAATTATTTATATTACTCAATTAGTCAAATAAAAAGGATTCAAGGTAATCTTCCCAGCACAATCCCTAAAACAAAAATCAAAAGCCATACCATTAGGTCTCTGGATACGGAGGACTCGGGGTTTCTCCACGGATCCGAATCTCACACAATACTTGGATTTGGGTTTGGTTCCGGAATTGCATTTGGATTTGGCCTTGACTTTTGCCTTTGCGTCGTCAGAAGAGAGAGAGAGATTGCACGAGTAGGGCTTTAGCGTTATGGAGGTGAGACTGGATTTCGGTTTGGTTCTAGTTTTTGCTTCAGATTTGGCCATGGCTTTCCACAGAGAAAAGATTGCAGATCAGAGAGTCAGGAGAAGGGAGAGAAAAGAGAGAGATTTTCACAAATTAGGGGTTTTAGCGTTATTGTCAATGGTGATGTATAAAAAGGGAGAGGGCCGACTTCGATTTAATGGGAAAGTAAATAAATTGTTGTAAAATCGACGGTGTGTGCAGTGGAATAAATAAAACAAGACACAAAATTTACGAGGTTTCTCTACCATCAGTGTGACTGGAGTACGTCCTCGGGGCAACAGTGGTTCTTTTATTTATAATATGCAATTTTGGAGACAGAGAATTGTTAGGGTTTTGAAGACTTTTTACTTGAAGGTGCTTTCAATCCTTTTCTTGAATATATTTTCTATGATTTCAATTATGAATATGCGGAACTAATTTCTATTGCTAGGGCGAAGCCTTGAGCCTTAGCATGAATATGTGATTTTTATTTAATAGCTTATGATTGATTGCATGAGTACCTTGAATTGTTAATCACCGAGATAAAAACTATCTAATTGTTTTAATGCCTGATCACCATTAGGATTTTTAGAAAAGTAATTTGATGCAATTTTAGTCGGAAGGTTCCCTGAAATTGACACTGGCTTCTTGTGATTAATAATTGTAATCTCTTAGGATGAATATCACGTCTTAAGGATTGCATGGTTTTTCAAAGGATTTTCATAAAGCATAATGAGTCTTTCATGTTTAGATTTGATCCGAACGTCCGGACGGGTTGCATGTTAGATATACATTCTATGTTGGAGGTTCCAAGTAGAATATGAATTAGGAAAATCTAATCTTCAAAGTAGCATGTATAGATCATAAGTAATGGGTAAAAATTCGTGGATTGCTAGGTGATGGTGGAACCATAGTGCTTTCTTAATTTGATTTTCTCAGATGTGTTTTCTTTTCTCTAGTCCTAATATTGCAGATTGTTTATTTTAATTCATTAAATTCGTTTTTATTTTAATTAGGTTATAAAATCAATCACTTTAATTTCTACTTTACAATAATTAAATGGAATCTGATTAGTTCGAATTATTTAATAATCCATGTGGAGATGACCTTGCGAAATCCGTTTATACTACAATAACCTTGTGATTCTTGCAAGTAAAATAAGAGATTTAAGCCCGTTCACATAAGTAGTAAAAATCCTATCAATTACTGATAGTAGTTTTATAAGTGAACTTGTTTTGTAGCATTTTCTTGTTTCTGATCAAGGCGATAAATGATTCTAACTCCAACATTGTGAAAGACTATTACGCGAAGAACTCAATTGACAAGGCCTACATCAAGAACTCAAGTTATGAAACAAATTAAACATGCAAAAATCAAACAAATATTTGTTATAAAAAAAAAGAAAAAGAAAGGAGGGAGTACTCAACAAAAAATACTTTTACGAGGAGTGCGCAATTAAAATTTTATTTTAAAGGCAAGTGGCGCCCATTATAATGATAACGAGAATTTTTGTGTCATGAATGACAAACCAATTAGTATGCGATTAATAGGCAGACTGCATACACATCTTTATTCAATCTGCTATCCACGATTCACTCATTGTCTGAGCAAGTGTCACAAAACTTAAGAAATTTTATCACCAACTTAATCTCATCAAATATAAAAATAATGTTCAGGAGCAAAGTAATTAACAAACGTACACCCAAAGTAACGAGCTTAAGAATTCTGAAAAGAACTATGAGTCACATGGAGAAAAACTCAACGACTAAAAAATGGCAATGAAGACCTGCAAATGCATTGTGTATTGCATTCCATTTATTATTAAACACCATTACCAAAGGGCAAGACTCGACACACTTCTTAATCGTTCAATATGTTTTCTTCAGCAGCTTCGGCTTAGAGGATGAGATGAATAGAGGTTTATATGGTTTGTCCTTGGGACGTAGAGGTTTATATGGTTTGTCCTTGGGACGTTCAGGACACTTTTCCGACTAGTGGAGACCAATATTCCTACAGTAGTTACAATATGCGACAATAAGACGTCCATTCGAGGAACCACCAGGGTGGGCACAACGGTTGGGGTTTTTGTAGAGTCTACGAGTAAAAAGACCACAAACTACACCATAGCCATCGCCAACAATAGCGCCCGGTGGGACACCATTCCAATATGGGCAGGCAGAACTGAAGTGCTCATTTTCCTTACGGCAAACTCTACAGCGCCCGAAATTACGTTCTTCTTGTTCAGCTCTTCCCTCGATCTGGAGTTGAGCCTTCGAGTCTCCAACGTCTTTTAGTAAACATTTTTGTTTTTCTGTTTGTTAGCAGTTCCATTGTTAAATACAAGAACAAGAAGCAAAAGAAAAATATTCAAATCACACGTCTAGAGGTTATAACCATAGCATAATTTTTCTTGCAACACAATATGTATACTACAGAGTCTTAAGAAACATGTAACGAGCCAATTACACAATTATTAAGTAGCAATTGAGTTTAATAGAACTGTGAATCTGAAGAACGTTAGATCCATGGGAGATGTTGAGAGTTATTTATATTACTCAATTAGTCAAATAAAAAAAGATTCAAGGTAATCTTCCCAGCACAAACCCTAAAACAAAAATCAAAAGCCATACCATGATTAGGTCTCTGGATATGGAGGACTTCTCGTCGGGGTTTCTCCACGGGCCCGGATCTCACACGATACTTGGATTTGGGTTTGGCTCCGAATTTGTAATTGGATTTGGCTTTCACTTTTGTCTTGGCGTCGTCGTCAGAGAGAAAGAGAGATTGCACAAGTAGGGTTTTAGCGTGAGGGAGGTGAGACTTGGATTTGGGTTTGGTTCTAGTTTTTTCTTTGGATTTGGCCATGGCTTTCCCCGAATAAAAGACGGCAGAGAGAGTCAAGAGAGAGATTTTCACAAATTAGGGTTTTAGCGTTATTTGGATTGTCAATGGTGATGTATAAATAGGGAGAGGCACCAACCATTGTCACTATGACACTGTTAATGATTTGCTCCACCGCAAGCAAGCAACAATACCGATAGCAAAGATACCATCGAAGATCACATGGATGGCTTGTCGACAATTCTAACACAATTTCCCAAGAGCTCACCAAAACTTCCAAAGAGGTATTTTTGCTCACATAAGTGGTGGAGAAAATCATTGACAGTGTCGTAGTGACAATGGTTGGTGCCTCTCTATAGAAATTTCTGAGCGACATTGTTCGATTGAGGAATTTAGGGCTTTTTTCTTTTCTTTTATATGGTGGACTGATGTTTAGTTGGGCCAAAAAGGACGTCTTCAATGACATAGGTAATTGATTAGAATATTGCTTCCTCTCAATATAGAATATCTTTGTTAGTTTCTTCATTGTAAGTTTCTTAACCAACTAATTAGCTTAACTTAATCAAAAAATAAAAAAATCAAGAAATTATTTCAAAAGACACTTCTCTTCCCCCTAATAAACATTTTTGGCTGCCCCCATTTCATATATGTTCCATTTTGTTAGTACTCTGAGAATGAGATGCTTCACAGTCTGTGCCTCCTTTCCATAGACAACAATCTCACTTTCTCATACCTGATACCAAATTAAGGACCCAGTTGCCAGCAGTTGCAGATTCCCCCTGCCATTTTTCATATCGACTCATTGGTGCAGGTAGTAGGAGACTCCTCTCATTCACGAAAAAAGCATCCAAAAAAATGAAAAAACTGGCTCTTTTTTTATCTCTTTTTATTCGAAGCCATGAGAAATGAAACTTTAAAGCTTTATTTTGCAGTTGTACAACAAATCCTCCCCTCTGAAAACCTTATTTTATTTTTATGTGCGAGAAAAGCAAGTTTGTGTTGTGTGTGTCCTACCAAAAACAGTGTGTCAAACATATGGGACATGTTTCTGTGGCCAGTCACATGGTTAGTGTAGCACAGGGAAAAAAACAAAGTACCATATATATACAAGTTTTGTTCGGCAAGGGTCCTGCCCCCGCCATAGGACCTACAAGTATACAATAATTTCAATGTGACTATCATATCGAAATAAGTGATCCTCTGATGTAGAACTATTCATCATATGATGGTGCCTTTAACTATTAACATTATACTTTGAGTATATGACTCCACGATTCAGGACGTGCATGCGCCTATAGTTAAGATTATAACAAGTTCAACCCCCTATTTGGACTCGGGAAGAAGTTAACAAAGGAAAAATGAATGTTTATTAGGTGGAAGAGAATGTCTTTTGAAATAATTCTTGATTTTTTTTTTTTTATTGTTAGAATAGTTGGTTAAGAAACTTACAATGAAAAACTAACAAAGATATTCTATATGAGAAAGCAAATTAATCAAATTACCTATGTCTTGAAGACGTCCTTTTTGGCCCAACTAAACATCATCCCACCTATAAAAAGAACAAAAAATAAATTCCTCAATCGAACATGTCGCTCAGAAATTTCTATAGAGAGGCACCAACCACTGTCACTACGACATGTCAAGATTTTCTCCACACTATGTGAGCAAAAATACCTTTTGAAGTTTGGTGACTCTGGGAATTGTGTTAGAATTGCCGACAAGCCATCCATGTGATCTTCATGGATCTTGCTATCGGTATTGTTGCCTTGCGGTGAGAAATCATTAACAGTGTCATAGTGACAATGGTTGGTGCCTCTCCCTATTTATACACCATTGACAATCCCCATAACGTAAAACCAATTGTGAAAACTCTCTCTTGACTCTCTCTGCCGTCTTTATTCGGGGAAACCAGGCAAATCCAAAGAAAAACGAACAACCCATCCAAGTCTCACCCCTCACGCTTAACCCTACTTGTGCTCTCTCTTTTCTCTGACGACGCGCAAACAAAAGTGAAGCCCAATCCAATACAAATTCGAGCAAACCAATCCAAGTATCGTGTGAATCCGGGCCGTGAGAACCCCGACGAGAACCTCCATATCCAGAGACCTAATCATGTATGGCTTTTTTATTTTGTTTGGGTTTGTGCTGGGAGATTACTTGAATCTTTTTTTATTGACTAATGATATAAAATCTAATAATGATTAATTAGATTACAGTTCTATAAACTAATTGCTACTAATAATGTTAATTGGCTCGTAAGTTTCTTAAGACTCGTATATACATATTGTAAGAAAATTAGATGGTTAAACTCTAGATGTATTGAATATTTCTTTTTCTTTTTTGTATTTAAAATGACTGAACAAACAAAAACAAAAAATTTATAGATTAGACTCGAAGGCTCACTCCAGATCGAGGAAGAGCTGAACAAGAACGTAATTCGGGCGCTGTAGAGTTGCTAAGGAAATGAGCACTTCAGTTCGCCGCCATATTGGAATGGTGCCACCGGGCGCTATTGTGCGATGGCATGTGTAGTTTGTGGTCTTTTTCTCTAGACTCTACAAAAACCCAACGTTGTGCCACCCTGGTGGTTCCTCGAATGGATCTTATTTCGCATATTTAACTACTGTAGAATATGGTCTCCACTAGTCGGAAAAGTGTCCTGAACGTCCAAAGGACAAACCATATAAACTCTAGTCCCAAGGACAAACCATATAACCTCTTCATCTCATCCTCTAAGCCGAAGCTGCGAAAAACAATTGAACGATTAGAAGTGTGTCGAGTCTTGCCCTTTGTAATGGTTTTAATAATAAATGGAATGCATACACATGCATTTGCAGGTTTCATTGCCATTTTTAGTAGTTGAGTTTTTCTCCATGTGACTCATAGTCTTTCCAATCTTAGCTCGTTCTTGGTGTACGTTTGTTAATTACTTTGCTCCTAACATTATTTTTATATTTGATGAGATTATTGGTGATAAAATTTCTTAAGTTTTGTACACTTGCTCAGACAATGAGTGAATCGATAGCAGATTGAATAAAGATGTGTATGCAGTCTGCCTATTAATCGCATACTAATTGGTTTGTCATTCAACACAAAAATCCTCGTTATCATTATAATGGGCGCCACTTGCCTTTAAAATAAAATTTTTATTGCGCACTCCTCGTAAAGTATTTTTTTGGTACTCCCTTTTCTTTTTCTTTTTTTTATAACATATTTGTTGATTTTTGCATGTTTAATTTGTTTCATAACTTGAGTTCTTGATGTAGGCCTTGTCAATTGAGTTCTTCGCGTATAGTCTTTCACAAGTTGGATTAGAATCATTTATCCCTTGATCAGAAAAAGAAATGCTCAAAACAAGTTCACTTATAACTACTATCAGTAATTGATAGGATTTTTACTTTATGTGAAAGGCTAAATCTCTATTTTACTGCAAGAATCACAGGTTATTGTAGATAACGGATTTCGCAAGGTATCTCCACATGGATTATTAATAATTCGAACTAATCGATCCATTTAATTATTGTAAAGTAGAAATTAAAGTGATTGATTTTAACCTAAATTAAAATAAAACGAATTAATGAATAAATAAACAATCTCAATATAGACTAGAGAAAAGAAAACACATCGAGAAAATCAATTAAGAAGCACTATGTTCCACCATCACCTAGCAACCACGAATTTACCCATACTTAATCTATACATGCTACTAAGATAGATCCTAATTCATATTCACTTGGAACTCCAACATAGAATGTATATCTAACATGCAACCCGTCCGGACGTTCGGATCTCTAACTGAAAGATCATTATGCTTTAAATGAAATCCTTTGAAAACCATGCATCCTTAAGACGTGATATTCATCCTAAGAGATTACAATTATTATACAAGAAGCAGTGCATTTCAGGAACCTCCGACTAATTGCATCAAATTACTTTCTAAAAATCCTAATGGTATCAGGCATTAAAACAATTAGATAGTTTTTATCTCGTGATAACATTCAAGTACTATGCAATCAATCATAAGCTATTAAATAAAAATCACATATGCATGCTAAGGCTCAGGCTTCGCCTGCAATAGAATTAGTTCCGCATATTCATAATTGAAATCATAGAAAATATATTCAAGAAAAGGATTGAAAGCACCTTCAAGTAAAAAGTCTTCAAAACCCTAACAATTCTCTGTCTCCAAAATTGCATATTATAAATAAAAGAACCACTGTTGCCCCGAGGACGTACTCCAGTCACACTGATGGTAGAGAAACCTCGTAAATTTTGTGTCTTGTTTTATTTATTCCACTGCACACACCGTCGATTTTACAACAATTTATTTACTTTCCCATTAAATCGAAGTCGGCCCTCTCCCTTTTTATACATCACCATTGACAATAACGCTAAAACCCTAATTTGTGAAAATCTCTCTCTTTCTCTCCCTTCTCCTGACTCTCTGATCTGCAATCTTTTCTCTGTGGAAAGCCATGGCCAAATCTGAAGCAAAAACTAGAACCAAACCGAAATCCAGTCTCACCTCCATAACGCTAAAGCCCTACTCGTGCAATCTCTCTCTCTCTTCTGACGACGCAAAGGCAAAAGTCAAGGCCAAATCCAAATGCAATTCCGGAACCAAACCCAAATCCAAGTATTGTGTGAGATTCGGATCCGTGGAGAAACCCCGAGTCCTCCGTATCCAGAGACCTAATGGTATGGCTTTTGATTTTTGTTTTAGGGATTGTGCTGGGAAGATTACCTTGAATCCTTTTTATTTGACTAATTGAGTAATATAAATAATTATCAATATCTCCCGAATGAATATATATGCATGCATCTACTCTCCTTAGCTCACAATTCTATTCAACTCAATTGCTACTTAATAATTGTGAAATTGGCTCAATACATGTTGTTTGTAACTCTATAGCATACGTGTTGTGTTGCAAGAAAAATTAGGTTATGGTTTTTATTCTATACATGTGATTTGGAAGTCTTCTTCTTCTTCTTCGTGTACAGAAGAAGGAAGGAAAAAAAATAAAAAAATTGTCCCCCCCCCCTGCCGCAAAGCGACCCAAAAGAAGAAGAAGATGGAAATATCTTTATAATTAGGTATCTTTATAATTAGGTTTTAAATTGTGGATTGCAAATGTTTAAATATGAATTATAATAGATTTTGCACAGAAAAATATATTTTGAAAAACATGAATAT